AGGAAGGAAAGACGAGCCATGGTCCGGGAGGCGAAGAGAAAGCGCGGAGCCCCAGTCTCTCTCCTCGCCCGACAGACAGACGGAGGGGCGAGTGCAGGGCCCTGACCTACCGCGAACATCTTGAGGAAGATTTCAAAAGCACCGACTTAATTTCCAAGGCAATTTTCCTGTGACTGAGTCGGCTGCGACAGCTCCTCCCGCCCTCCCCAGATCGGAGAATAGTTTTGGTTTTTGTTTTTTTTGGGGTTTTTTTGTTGTTTTTTTTTTGTGTGTGTTTTTTTTTTAAAAAAAAAAAAAAAAACAACAACAACAGAAAAAACACCAACAACCTTGTTTCTCTACTTTCTGTCCCGGGAAAAGAAAGAAACGAAAGAGAGATGGGGAGGGAAAGAAGATGCTGGAGGACAGCTATTTTCCAAAGTTACGAGGCAGGAAAATGTTTTCAGGTCGGGCGCTGGGGCACAGGGAGACTGGGCGTTATTATTAAATCCTAAATTCACCGTGAAAACGGGATTTTTTGCGCAGCCCCAGAGAAGGGCCAGGGCAGTCGCAGAGGAAGAGCCGAGCAATTGGAAAAGATGCTCTTTCTGTCTAAAGGTGGTTTCTATAATCCAGGTTGATTTATTTTTGTTCGGGGCTGCGAAGAACTAGAAAGAAAAAAACAGAAAGCTACCGGAGAAAAGAATAAGATCTTGACCTTTCCTAATTCTCCAAATCGACAGTAATGGAAAGCAGAAGGTGCCAGGGGAGGAGGCAGGAGGCGAGGGCCGAGCGGGCGATGCGGCGGCCCCGGCCGGGCCGGGGTCCCACACTCGGCACCCCGCGGGTGGGAGCCCAGCCGGCGAGGGAAGGGCCACTCACGTCCTTCCTCGAGACCTGCTCTCTCAGTTAGCTAAGTAACGGGCTTAACGGGCTTAGTTAGGCGAAAGCAGGGACTGAAATTACCCAACCCCCGCTGTGGTCCCGACAGGGATATTCCGGGGCAGGATTGTTTTATCCCGCCCCGATAAACCCGAGGAGAACCCCCCCGTTTTCCGCCTTGCCGGGGCTGCACACACACACGGAAAACCGCCGTGAAATACATACGCAGAGATCATTGTGGTTTTGTTACAACCCCTTTATCTGAAATACAGAAAGGAGAGGAGTGGAGGCACATTTAAAAAAGAACAACAAAAAAAAAATCAATCCCCCCCAAAAAACAGCTCCACAGATGTTTGACCAAAGCCAAACCAAGGTGGGGAAACCCGTATCCCTTCGGCCCCGCTCGGAAACAGCCTCCGAGACCAGCCCCGGCGCGAAAGGGAGAAGGGAAAAAAAATCCCACCCCTGTGGCAAAGGATCGGGCCCCGCGACTGGAGCGGGGTCACCTCCGGCCCGGCTTTGCCCGAGGTTTAACACTGGCAAAACAACCACCGAAAGCAACCCCGAGAACCGGGCGGGTTCGCCTGCGGACGAGAGGGAAGGGAGATGCCGGGTCGCCTTTTTGGCCAGGGACTCCCAAGCAGCGGCTGCAACAGCTAATTATTTTCCATTCAGTGCTCGGTTATTGCTGGTGTCCTCCCCGCCTTCCCCCCCCCCCCCCCCCCCCCCCAATAAATAAATAAAACCCTCCTTTAGGCAGCGAGGCGTGAAAAATGATCCTCGCTGAACGCTTAAAAATAATGTCCCGTGAAGATCGGGGCCGCGGAGCCAGCCAGCCCCGTAATTAGGAGCCATTATCCGTCCTGCCTCGCCGAGGCAATATTTTGCCTCAACCCACCGAGCCGAGCCCGGCCGGGGGTTCCCGGCTCCAGAGGATCCCCCCGGGCCCCTCCTCGCCGCCCCCTGCCCCAGCGGCCGGGGGGAGCCGGTTCCCGGGGGTGTCTCCACCGATCCACCACCCCCCCCCCCCCGCTCCCCGAGCGACGCGGATATTTGCAGGCGGCATGAGTTTGGCGGGGGCACGGAAAGGGCTCGGGTGCTTGAGGGGAATTTACGGGATGGGAAAAAACTAAAGTTAGAGCCCGTTTGGAGACCTTCCCCCCACACATCACCAAAAAAAAAAAAAAAAAAAAAAAAAAAAAAAAGCAACAAAACCCCAACGGCGCTCACAGCCCCCCCGCGGGCCCGGGAGAGCCGGGCCCAGCCCGGCCGGTAGCTCCGGCAGCCCGGCCCTTCCTCGGGGGGTACCGCGGCTCCCCGGTAAGGGGGAAAAATCCCCCCCCCAAGTCAGCTCAGCTTCAATCCCGGGCGGCGAGCGCGGCTTAAAACACCTCAATGACTCCGCAAAGCAAAAGAAGGGGAACGGGGCCGGGGAAAGGGGTCCCAACCCCAGAAACCCCCGAGCCCCCTCCCCTAAGCATGTGGGGGAAGGGGTGTCTCCGGGTAAACACCGCTTCCCTGCAGAGAGGACCCCCCTCCATCCTTCCAAACCCTGAGACCACCAACTTGGAGAGCCTTCTGCACCCAGCGGGGGCTGCAGGGGCGAGACGCGCTCGTTCATCCCCACGGGCACCGGCTGCCATTTCTTATCCACTCCTGGCCCCGTGGCTCATTTTCCTCCCGCACTTCGCAAACAAACAAGCCAAAAAAAAAAAAAAAATCGCTACTTTATATTAAAATAATCCGCCCCCCTACTTCCAGACACACAACCACCACCCAGCCTCGCTGCACATCGCTTTTTTCCTTCGGATCCCGACTCCTCAAAGCAGGCTCGGTTATTAAAGAAGGCTGAACAAAGATAGCCCCGAGAGCAGCTATCAGCGCATTTTAACTTCATCAAAGACTTCGGGGGAGAGTGAGAGGAGGGGTCTGGCACCTTCTAGTAATGAGCTTGTCAGGAACACCCCTGCCAGAGCAATTGAACAATTTGCACACAAGCAAAAGAAAAGGAGCGGGGAGGGAGGGAGGAAGGGGAAATGCTACAAAAGCCCCTTCAATTTCCAACCATGTGCTTGGCAATCTGGAAAATAGATTCATTGGCCTCCTCTTTTCTCCCATGTCGAGTCTTGTAGCCCCTTTTGTAGGAGCTGGACATGAAAGGGAGACAACCAAGTGCCGGACACGAAGATCGCTTTTCAAAAGCAAATGTGTGTGAAGGCGAGATGTGAGACCGCTCGCTGCGGGGAGGCGGCACGCTCAGCAACAACATCAACAAACTGCGCGGAGGTTCGAGGTGGCACAGACAGGGGCAGAGGAGGGGGGGGGTAAAAAAAAAAAAGAAAAAAAAAAAAAAAAAGCGGGGGGAGGAAGAGAAAAGAAAGGCCGACATCCCCCCCACCCGGCTCCCCGCTCCCCCCGCCCGGCTCCTGCCCGAGCCCCGGCGGGCCCCGCACAAAGCCCCGCTCGCCCCGGGGACCGGCTCCGTCCCCTGCTCCCTGCCTCCTACATCTCAGCTTTTTTTTCTTTTTCTCCTTCTCCTTCAGCTGGCTGCACGGGCAGAAAGGCCTCGATGCTTTAAATCAGGGTCCCTGCCAACAAACAAACCAAAGAGCCACGTTTGGTCCCTGAAATAAATAAATAGGGGAGGGCGGGAGTTTGGAGGAGAAGGGAACGCTTAAAGATGTTTATTTACTTTGTAAGTTGTTGCAAAATTTAGGCGGAGATCAAGTTTCATTCGGTCATTCAAATGCTGCAGGCCCAAGGGGGACGTGTGTGCGGGGGGGAAACCCTCCAACTTATTTTCTCATGTGTCAACTTTTCCAAACAAAATAAAAGGAGGCAGAGGGGGTGAAGAGAAGGGAGAACCTTTCTCCCGACCCCCACCTCCTTCCCCCTAGAAACACGCAGGGTTTGGGGGGGGGTTGGCTCGGGAGGGAGGGGGGGTGTGTGATACACACCGAAAAGCAAACAAAGAAATCAAAAATAAAATTAACACACACCAAAAAAAAAAAAAAAAAATTAACCCGGGGGGTTCTTTTCCTTGCCGGCCCCTCTCCCCACGCCCGGCCGGGGAAGGGGCAGGGGGAGGCACGGCCGCTGCGGCCGCCTGCAGCGCTGGGCAGGGAGGCGGCGCGGAGCAGCCCCGCGCAGGCTGCGCGCCCGGCCGCGGAGGGGAAGGCTCAGCCCCGCCGGCCTCGGGCATTGAAACTCCGCGGCCGGGCGAGCCCGAGCGTGGGAGCCACTCGCTTCCACGGGGCCCGAGCGGCGCTCTCGGCTCTCAGCGTGACAAAGGACATCGCAAAGAACGATCGGGATTATTACTCTTTTTTTTTTTTTTTTTTTTTTTTTTTTAACCAGGTCACAAACATTTATTAATTTACACCAACGGTGGACAAAATTCTGTTGCCTTTTCCACATCAAATTATTCACAGATTCTCTCAATAAAATAGATATGACGGATGCACAACCAGTGAAGAGTTAACTGGACTCCGCTCATTAGCTCCCGAATAATCTATATACAAATAATTACCAATACACCAAAAAACCCACGCACGGACGGGGTGGGAAAACGGGGATCAAAAAAAAATACTATGGAAATTCTCCAAACTTCCTGACGGATCGGATTTTCTTTTAAACGTGCATTTGAATGTCTCATTGGGAAAAAAAAAAAAAAAAAAAAAAAAAAGGTGGGGGGGAATAAACCGCAGTCCTGAGTTTCACCGACTTTTCTTCTTCTTAAAAATAAAGAAATCCTAAACAGTGCCTTTTAAAACCAACCCGGAGCTTCAAAGAAACTAAAAATAAGATCGAACCATTAAAACATTTCTTTGAGAGCAGGGGAGAGACAGACACACATGGCAAAACCGCCCGGGAGAGAAATTTGCAGGAACGAAAACGGGCTCGCTGCGACCGGGGGCGCCTGCAAGTCCCCTGGCCACTTTCACAGGCGATTTTGGGGACCCCCGCGGAAAACCCGCACCTCTCAAAGGAAACATTTCCGACCCTAAGACCGTTTCTTTCTTAACGAGCCCCCCTTCACCCCCAGCAAGACGTTGCGTGTTCAAACAGCCCAGGTCCCAGCTTGTTACGGCCACTTTATAAATACGTTTTGGCGCTTGCGGGACCAAATCGTGTTATTCTTTCCCCCCCTCCCGCTCTCCCCGTTTATTTCTTTTTCTTTTTTTTTTTTTTTTTTTTTTTTTTTTTCCGAGCGAAGAGACACAAATAGATCTGGATGCCACAGAGCCTGGAAATAAAGTAAAAATTAAAAAAAAAAAAAAAAAAAAAGAGGAAATATTTCCTACCTTAAAACACAACAGGAGGAGATTGGGGGGGGGGGGGGGGGAAACGGGGAGAGGGAAAGGGAGCAGTTTCGGAGGAGGGGGGGAGAGCTGGGAAGGGGCCGTTTGCTTCGCGACTCTCCCCCCCCCCCCCCCCCTCCCCTCCCCTCCTCCTCCCCGGCACACTTTAAAAATGACAGCTGCTCAGGGTTGTGATTTTACTGGAAAAGTTCTGGGCCGGCTGCAGGAGCGGCTCGTGTGCCAGGCTGACCTGGGGCTGTGCCGGGGCCAAGGCCGGGCTCAGCACGGCCAGGACCTGCGCCGGGGGGCCCGCCTGGCCGGCGGGGTAGGGCGCGGCGGGCGCGGCGCTGGGGTTGGTGCTGGGCGGCGGGGGCACGGCCCCCCCGATGATGTTGTCTATGGAAAAAGAGGGCCGGGAGGGGTGGTTGGTGCCGCCGGCGGCGGGCGTGGGGTCCGGCTTCAGGGTCTGGAGGAGGGCGGCGGGCAGGGCGGTGGGGCTCAGCTGGGGGTGGTAGAAGGACTTCCTGCAGTTCAGCTCGCCGCCCAGGAAGGAGGGCAGCCCCGAGGCGGCGGAGAAGACGGAGGCGGCGGCGGGAGGCGGCGGAGCCGGTAACGGGCAGTGCGGCGCCGGGAAGGGGAAGGCGCCCGCGGCGCCGCCGCCGCCGCCGCCTCCGCCGGGGTGGTGGTGGTGGTGGGGGGGGTAGCCCTGGAGCTGCAGGCCGTAGTTGTAGCCGTAGGGTCCGTAGGCGAAGCCGGGCAGGAAGGCGGCGGGGTCGGCGGCCCCGGCCCGCAGCAGCAGCTCGGGGTGCGGCGGGTGCAGCTGCTGCTGCCGCTTGAAGCGCTTCCTCCGGCGCAGGAAGCTCCCGTTGTCGAACATGTCGGCGGACTCGGGGTCCAGCGTCCAGTAGTTGCCCTTGCCCGGGTTGCCGGGCTCCCGGGGGATCTTGACGAAGCAGTCGTTGAGGGAGAGGTTGTGGCGGATGCTGTTCTGCCAGGCGGGGAACTTCTCCCGGTAGTAGGGGAAGCGGCCGCTGATGAACTCGCAGATCTCGCTCAGCGTCAGCCGCTTCTTGGGGCTCTGCAGGATGGCCATGGTGATGAGGGCGATGTAGGAGTAGGGCGGCTTCACCAGCGGGTTCTTCCCCCCCGCGCCGCCGCCGCCGCCGCCGCCCGCGGGCGCCTTCTCCCCGGGCGCGGCACCGCGGGCACACGCCGGCTCCGAGCCGCCGGCGGGGGAGAGCCGCTCCGGGGACCCCCCCATGCGCGCCTTGGCGGCCCCGCTCCGTGGCAGGGAGAGCCGCAGCGGATCGCCGCCGTCGTCCTCGTCCTCCTCCTCCTCCTCGTCGTCCTCCTCCTCCTCCTCGTCCTCGCTGTACTTGCCCCCATCCTGGGGCGGGCCCACCACGTCGATATCCGCGTCCTCCACCTCGGAGAGCGGCTCTTCCTCCGGGGAGCGCTCGGACATGATCCCGCAGCCGCCGCCGCCGCTGCTGCCCAAAGTCATTGTTGTGCGGCCGGGGCGGCCGGGGCCGGGCTCCCCCCCCCACCTAGCGGCGGCTCCCGGGATGGGCCCGGGGCCGTGCCGGAGGGCTGCGGCCGCCGCTGGGACTCCGCGCCCCGGCGCCGCCGCTCCGCGCCCCGCTCGCCGCGCCGCTGCTGGCGGGGCCGCGGCGGGGCTGCGGGGTGGTGGCTGCGGAGGGAGGGGCGGTGGAGAAGGCGCGGGGAGGGGGCGGAGGGACGGGACGCCCGGAGGCTGGGCAGGGAACTCGGGAGCAGCGATAATAAATAAGAGTAATAATGATAATAAAAGGGGAGAGAGAGAGAGAGGGGGGAAAAAAAAAAAAAAGGGGGGGGGGAGCGGGGGGTGCGGCGGCTCCTTGGCAGGGCTGGGGGGAGGGAAGGGGAGGGAGGGAGGGGCGGGGGAAGAGGGAGGGGGGAGGGCAGAAGTTGGGAAGGCGGCTCCCCCCTCCCCACCCCTCCCGAGCTGGGACCCGGTGGAAACGCTCCCGCTCTGCGCCTGCTGCCAGCGCTCCCCAGGCCTTTATACGGCCGCCCCGGCATCACGTGGCGCCCGCCGCCCGCCGCAGCCCCCGCGGGGCACGGTGAGGGGCTGCCCGGCCCGGCCCCGGTCCCCGGGGAGCGCGGCCCCCGCCCCCGGCGGGGATGCTTTCGAGGAAAGGCGCTGCCCGCTCCCCCCGGCGTTCGGATGGCCCCGGCGACGCCGGGAGCCGGCGGCTGCAGGAAGGGGGGTCGGCGCTGGATAAAGCCCCCCCCCAATCCCCTCCCCCAGCCCCGCCCCAGGCACCCCGCGGTGCTGGTGGCTCGCAGGGCCCATTCCTGCGGGATGGGGCGGCCGTTTCCCTCCGCCCGAGCGCCGCGGAGGGTCTCTTCTACCCCCGAGGGCTGCCCACCCCCGGGGCTGGGGCTGAGCTGCCGCGCTCCAGCCGCCTCGCCGGCGGGGACCCTCGCTCCGCCAGGACCGAGCCCTCGGCCCCCTTGAGGGGTCGTGTGAATTTGAGGATAACCCGCTCCCCTTCTCCACGCGAACACGTCACCGACACGTCACCGAGCCCGGAGCACCCTGCCTGGAAACCCGCCTCCCCCCAGGGCTCCCCACGGGCCCACACCCGCGGAAAGGATGCTGCTGTCCGGCAGGTGCGGGGCGGAAGGCGCGGAGCAACGCTCAGTCAAGCCTCTCCCCCCACGCGAGAAATAACCAAAGCGAAGGTTCTGTGTGTCCGCGGGGTTCTGGGACGGCACCCGAGTCCTGCATTCCCACCCGACGGGACCGGACCGGCCGGGTATCACTTTCCGAGGGGCCCACCCGCGGCCCGGCCAGGGACCCTCCGGGACGGGGACTTTCCTCCGGCCTCGGTATCTCCTGTCCGCTGCTCTCCTGCCATTGCTCCCCCCGAGGCGCAGCATCCCCCGACGGCTGGCAGGGAGAAGGTGGAGGGCAGCGGACACCCACCTTGCTGCGGGCTGCAGCCGAGCCGGGAGGATTTCCCTGTCACCAGAGGCCCCCTAGGCCCCCCCGCAGCCACAGCCGTGTCCCCGCGGGTGGCAGAGCCCCGCTTCCCCGCCTGCGGCCGCCCCTTCCCAGGACGAAACCGGGACGGCCACCCCGGTTCAGGGTGGGGAACACAGCGACGGCTGCAGCCGCCCACCCCACGCCCCGTGGGTGGCTGTGGCAGCCCGGTGTCCCTGTCTCTGCCGCGGACACGCCGAGTCACGCTCGCACGAGTTTTTTGTTTGGTTGGTTGGTCTTTTCCCTTTAGATGCTCTGCGAACACGCAGCCGCTTTCCCGGCGGGGGAGGACGCCTGGGGAGGGAGGAAGGGGATGGTTTCCTCCAAGGGGGTGCCAGGGGGCCATCTTCCCTCCCCCTCCCCCGTGCCCCCCCACCCCACAGGGCCGCATTTAGCAGTGTGAGAATCCGCGGTGATGAATTGCCAGTCGCTGCCGTTAACAGGTGCGAGCATTTGGTGATAAAATCTCCAGCACTAATACCGGGGAGCCGGGCCAAACAGCTGCACGGCCCCGCTTCCAAATGCCGGTCACAATTACTCAAGCCCTAACGACTCGGTGCACAGGCTCGCCGAGCTCGGGGGGACCCCGAGGAGCGGGCAGGAGCGGCCGGCGCTTCGCCCGCACAGCTCCAGTGGAAGCAGCTATTAGAGAGCCGGAGCCTCTGCGCGGACTCGGTCGCATCCTTCTCCCTCGCCGCAAACGCTGGGATCGGGAAGGATCTCTCGACCGAAGGGGAAAAATAGCTGAGTAACTATGCGGAGAGTTGCTCGGGAAGGTGGGAAGCCTGTCCCGAGGACGTGTGTCAGGGCTGGGGGAGCTTTCCTGAGCTCTTTCGCTTTTATACTTCTCCGATGCTGATAACCTGCGTTTGCAACACATACGCATACACCTTCCTCTCATATGTGTGTGTATATATATATTCAACTATATATATTTATATTATTATTTTTTCTTATATATATTTTTTCTTATATATATATAATTAGCTAACACAGATAAATGCTTCGAAGAGGACGCATCTTTCCTACCGACTTTGTTTAAACTCTCCGCTCACCAGCCCCGCGGAAAGGCGATGGGAAGAACAAATGGAAGAGAGCGGGGAGGGAAAAGACCCGAGCCGCTTTCCATTTTTATTAAGTAAAATAATAGTTATGCCTCCCCTACATAAACGAAAGTGTCATAAAAAAATTCCGAAGCAGCTGCCAGAGATTTCGACCACACACACAACGGGGCGATTGAATTTCCACTTGGTGCATTTCATGGCAGCGAGGAACCGCCGGGAGCTGCGCCCTGTGCCTCGGCAGGGCGGCGGAGGGGAGGGCAGGGGGGGCACCAAAATAAAGCGCTGCGAGCGGCAGAGGGCAGCGGGCACCGCCCGGGGGATGCCCCGTCGCCCGTCCGCGCCCCTCCGCGCCCCCTCCGCGCCCGGTCGCAGGGCGGCCGCCTCCCGACCGCCCTGCCTGGAGGTTGGCCCCGCACGGCTCGAAGGGAAACAGATGTGGGTGTCTGCAGCACCACCCCCCCCCCCCCCCCCCCCCCGCTGCCGGCTCTCCCCCTGCCTGGAAGCGGGGACAGCTCCGGGCAGCCCACGGGGGGAGCCCCCCGGCAACGCGGGGCGCGGGTGGAGCTCTTTGCCGCTGTGCTGATGGGCATCGGGACCCTGAAACTGGGAAGGGGGGGTCGGGGGGAGGCGAGAAGTGTCGATCCGAGGCGGCCGTCGATGGGATGCGACCGGTGCCTGGTCCTGCTCCCGCCTGGACAACCGCCCCCACCCCACCCACCCCCCCACCCCCGCCCTTCAGCATCGCTCATCCAGAGCCGCCGCATCTCGAGAAATAGCATGTCCCGATCAGCCACCACCGACACGATTCCTGCCTGTTTCAAGGCAAAATATCGTCCCCGTTATAGTCGGGAACGACCCGAAAGGAAACGACCGTGAATGAGTCCCGGTCCCTCCATCTGCGAGCGGCTCCTCTTCGCCGAGCCGGCATTAGCCTCGGCTTTGCCACTCAAGATCGGCTGCAGAAACAAATCAAAACGAGAAAAAGTACCTCAACTACACCCGTCCCGAAATGATTTAGAAAAGGGAAACCTTGGACTGAAACAAACCAGATGGTCGGATCCCAGACACGTGTATACACGCCACACACACACATACACGCGCACACGCTCCCGGCCGTGCATCCACACACGGAGCGAGGGGTGAGTTTTAATCACGGGTTTGTAAGCCGGGGTAAGAAATGATGCGGTCTCCCGAAAAAGAAACCCTATCGATCTACCCGAAAAGATTGCCTCGTCACCGTCCCACTGTTCCCAGGCGTGCAGGGCTGAGGGGGAAGCGGTTTTCCTTGGGCAGATTTTTAATTTTTCTGCTCTCCTCTCTAAATATTTCATTACAGCCAGCCTGCCTTCCCATCTCCCGTTTTAACCCGACTCTGCTTTACATTTCACGTTAAATTGCGGTGTCAAACGTGCGTGAGGCTGAGTGGGGACAGTCTCCAAAAAGTCTCAAAAATGGGGGGGGGGGGCAGAAAGGCCATCAACCGATCAAGACTTTTTTTTTTTCTCTCTTTTAAACTGACTTTCACTGTCTCTCCGCCTGTCTTAATGAGGCGTTTGGTCCAGCCCTGCTGGGTCGGCGTTTTGATGTCCAGCAGACCGCTTTAGCAGGTGGATCCCCCCTGGCCGAGGTTTCCCCCCTCCTCCCCGGGTCTCCCGGTGCCCCCACCGCGGGAGCAGATCGCAGCCCCTCCAAGCTGCGAAACGGCAACAACGAGCAGGCACGTTTTAATTTTTTTTTTTTTTTTTTTTTTTTTTTCCACGGGGAAAAGTTCATTCCCTGCCTGTCCGCCGGGACCGTTACTTGCCGGGGGCGTGTAGGGGCGGGCAGGGAGACCAGCCCCGGAGCCCGGCGGGCTGCGATCGCTGCTCCCGCCCCGGGACCGGCCGTGCCCCCGCCGGGGGGAGCCGGTCCCGGCCGGAGCATCCCCCGGCGCGGGGGTTTCCCGGGGGCACAGCCCGGGGCAGGGCAGCATCGGGCCCTGCAGCCATTCCGGGCGCTGCCTTGGGCAGTGCGGGGGGTTTAGCTCCAGCCCAGCCGACCTTGCTCCCAGATCCTTCCTGATGATCTGTTGGTTTTGAGATACATAATCGTTCTGGTTTCCTCTGCCGAGCAGCATCTAAATTCGTTTATTCTGATGAGAACGGCATCTACAAGTCCCCCAAGGCTCAGTGATGGATTTTTCTGTATTACCTCGTTATCAAGCTTGGCTGACCTCTAACTTCTCTGAAAACATGAGCAAGACAGACCTGCTGCTGCCTGGGCTGCCCCAGGGGGCTCTTTTTCCACTTATGTGATTTCCTTTGATATTATTTCTCTTCTTTCCATATCCAAGGCTCAGACCTTCAGTGCTCCCTGCAGTTCAACCTTTTTTCCAGCCCCATACTGACAGCTTGCAAAGATCAGTTTGCAGCCTGCACACCATGAGTTCCCAGCGCAGGGAGGTAAGTGGGAATGGTGGTGCCAGATAGTGCGAGATGCATGAAATTCCCGGTTTGGAAACCACTGGAGTCAAGTGCCTATATCCATCCCTGCAGCGCTCAGATGTTGGACAGCTCGGTTTGGTTGACTTGCATTTTCAAATGCAGGTGTGCCAAAATCCACCCCAAAGAAGGCCTGGATTTCAAAGGAGGATTTTCCCAGGCACTCCGTGTGCAGGGTTGAACCCCTGTGAACCTCTGGAGAACAAGTGTCCCTGTCTTCAGAGGAGTGAGAAACTCCCCCCACATACACACACTTATTTAGGTGCTGTGATCTGGCTGTAGGACGTTGGTTTTGGACCTGCAGTTCAAAAACTTTGTCTGCTGCTCTCTATTCATAGCTGATCCCATCCCACATGAATTTGAAGCACACCAGGCAAGCTCCTACACGGCTTAACACTTAACTGATTAACTCTGGCTTGGTATAAGCTTTTTTTTTGGTACTGTTCTTCAGCAATCTGACATGAAAAGACACACACATGACTCAGAGGAACACAGTGATTTCAAGCCATAAACCACCAGGTGCACTTTTGAGACTCACCAAAGCCAGCTCTCCTGGTTGCCATAAAAAACACATTAGCCAAAGGCCGACGCATGTGGAAGGCAATTATGCTTTGGCACATGGCAACGTGTATAGAACAGGCTGGTAACTGTGCCTACCACACAAGGAAAAATATCCCTGGGAAAACAAGCCTGCTAAATCACTTCATTCTTCCCTGAATCCCTTGAAAATAAGAATGAGGATTCTTTTTTGTTTGGGAGGAGGGGCATGTATGTGGGCAGGAATCAGATTTTCCAAAAGTGGGTGCACCGCTACAAGAACCTAAATAAATGGCCAGATTCACAAGGGTGTAGAAACTCATGATGAGGTTTCCGAGCCCAGATTTTCCATGTTAGCATCTGATCATGCCAAATGTGCCCAGGAAATCCCTGCTGCTGAATTTTCTGCATTCTGCGGTTCAGCAGCCCAAATGCCCACCTCACCCACTGAGTCTATAAAAGCCCACTTCTGCCAGAAATTCCAGCTGAGAACCTTCAGCTTGGGGGCCAGGAGCAATACAGAGAGAGGGCCTTCAAAGGGGAAATTTTCAGACAAAGTGGAAAATTACTGGAATACAGCTTGATTGGGACAAAAAGTGTTTGACCTTTTTTTTTTTTTTTTTTTTTTTTTTTTCCTGTATGTAGTAAATGGCTGGGAATAGGAATCTTTGCATCTGGACATATCCAGCAATCTCCAGCTGGGGATCAGTTTGGGGTGGATCTGCTGTATCCTTGTAAAAAATCAGCCCTGCATACACATGCTGATATCTACAGATCTGCCTTGCAAACAGGTTTGTAGATATATTTTGCCTCTTGACATCAAATAAGACTATGCTTCAGTCAGCTGGAGACTGTGATGTTGCTACTGCACAGGAATACCACACAGGGCTCCTTTTCTCTGGTCCCATCTTGGGAAGGGGTTGAATGAACAGAGGGAAAAAGTTTGTAACCCAAAGTGTGGAGAGGGAGGTGAAGTATCTCACTCATGCAGAGAAGCAGGGGCAGAGCCAAACCCCTTAACCCTGTCTCCTTATCTAGTGAAAGACAAGCAGGTAGAAAAAATATCAAATGAGGCATGTCTGTAATAGTCTGGGGCTGACTCTGCACAGAAGGGTGAAACTCGGCTCCACTGCCCCCCCAGCGTACAGCTGTGGATGCCAATTCTTACACTGCATCTCCACCAGGTCACAGCTTCACCCCACAGCCAGGCTCCAGCACTTCCACACCCCAGCAACTCCGTCAGGTCCAGGACCCAAAGCTAGTCCCTGCTTTGTGTACTGGGATACAGCCCTGGCACATCCCAAGCTGACTTTGTGTCAGTGTGGCTGGAAATTCTCCGTCTCTATAAAGCAGCTGCTCTGCAGTGCACAGCAAGTAAAAGAGACACACAAGAAACCCATCCCCAGCATCTCCAGACTGCTGTGAACTTCTCCTGCCCCTTTCTTCAAACCACCAGAAGAAATTGCTGCCCTGAGCTACACAGAGGTAAGAGAGGGAAAGCCTGTCAACACACAGATTAAAATTAATCCAGCCAGTTTTGGGGTGTTGAAGCTTCAAGTACACACACATCCCCCCTTCTTCCACTTCCAGCAGGTGACCCTCTGATTATTCTTGCTGGGAAGAGGAAGCTGCATCACTTGCATGGAAGAAATTACACTGAGGGCTGTTGAAGGAAAGGCTGATGTTTCACACCTGCCTTTGCATTTCTTGGAAAGACCTGATTTCTGCAGGATGGATGCTCAGCATCGCCCAGTTAACCAGATCCCACCAATGCTCATTATGAAATGCCTTGTTCTTATTACCGTTTTCTAGGCTTTTATATAGTCTAGATGTTGAGCATTAACACTGTGTTACAAGAGGGTGTGAGGCATTGGGATAAGTTATCTACT